ATTTATATTATATATATATATATATATATTATATATATAATATATATATATATATATAATATATATATATATATATATATATATATATATATATATATATATATATATTATATATATATATATATATATACTATATATATATATATATATATATATATAGCATATAGAGCACCACAGAAGTGCATTTAACTAGGAAGTTCACGTCTCCTTCCTTACCGTGACGTGAATATATGTTCAGAGCTCGTTTCGAACATGTATCTGCTTCTTATAAAGCAAGCGCTCTAAACACTACACTATATATATATATATATATATATATATATATATATATATATATATATATATATATTTATATATATATATATATATATATATATATATATATATATATAATATTCTTTCTTATTTATTATAAGAAAGAGAGCTGCTTTAACATTTGTTTGATATTTATTTCTGTATTTATATATTAAATTGTTACAACTAATTATTATATTAGCGCTACGTCTTTTAGAAGAGAATTTTTTGTGCGGAATTAGTCTCTTAGCAATCATTTTCCGTTTAATTCTCCTATAGTAATTACTTATTCCGCAGTCGCTATTCATTATTCTGAACGACTTTTAGAAATTATTGTTTGAGTGACAACCATTACATTACATTATAATGTGAAATTATAATCATATAAACATATAATTACATATTATAAAAACAAATAAATATTAAATTCAAAACTATATTTATAGGAATACAAATTCTTATTCGAGAAGCCATTCTTAAAAAACTTACTTAAAACTAAAAAACTTTGTAGATAAACAACGATTTCTGGTTAGCTTAAACATTACTAATATTTTGCTACAAAAAAATGCTGTAATTTAAAAAAAAAAAATTTAATTTTCATCTAGTTTGGTACGGCAAAAGAATTATAATTTTTTGAATAAAGTCTCGTTCTGTTTCGAAATAAAGGAAGATTAGATTTTTTTATTTTTCGTTATAACGAGATGGTAACGGTAAATTAAAAAATTAGCGAATGTCTTCCGAAAAGATAAATTGCTTCGTTTCGGTTCGTAAACCTCGCTAAAATTTACCGTTTAATTCCGAGATGCAACGGCTTAACTGAGAAACTCTTTATCGCCATTACCTTGGTTTTAATGGCTGACAAAAGTTGTGTCAAACTATTATTACTACTGTTGAGAGTAATAATAGTTTTCAAAAAAATGTTGCTTTTAGAGTGCCTTTAAAAACAATTTTTTTTGAAATTGTCTGTTGCCGCACCCTAAATATGTTTTATGTATTAAATTAACACTAAATTAAAAAAATTTTTGAATAAAAAAAAATTTTAGGGGTCGCTCAAGATCCTTAAACATTAGACAGGTCCCAATATTTTGAAAAAAAAAAGTTCTTGAAAAGCGCATTATGTCGGGTCTCAAAAGAAGTGAAATTTTATAAAAATTTCAAAAATAATAATCTTTTTATATAAAGATTACTAGTTAAAATTTTATGGCTTCAAAACTATCATTTTTTAACAAAAAAGAAAAAGTGTATATATAAAATATATAATATATTTTATATATACACTTTTGACATTAATAAAAAGTGTATATATAAAATATATATATATTTATACATGTATATGCGCATATATGTGTGTGTGTGTATGTGTGTGTGTGTATACAATAACCGGTTATTGTATATATACACACACACACACACACACACACACACACACACACACATTGCGTGCTGTTAACGTGAAAGCTGTTGAATTCTTCAGCAGTCAGTGAATTGGATTTGTTGTCTTACATTGGATTTTCTTTTCTGTCTAGGTGGGTCTTTGAGATTTAAGACAAATTTTGAAGTTGTTTAATATTTTAAACTTTGCTTACACGTCAACAGCATTAAGTTTTGTAAGCCTGAGGCTCCTTATTAAATCGTTCACGTTCTTTTTGGTAAGAGAAGTACGGCGTTTTATCCCCAACTTCATTTACGAAATTGTAGTCCATATCTGTAGTATCTGTCTTGCTATCTGACTTGTTGCTGTTTCCTAAAGATAGACGATGCCACCTGGGAGGAGACGGAACAGGCATTTTGGGGCTGTGTGGTACTGGGGCGATTGAAAAGGGTATGTTCATATAAACAATCTAAAAGACATATTTTGCCGGGGCGACGATTTTTTTTGGGTTTACTATGCAGAAGTAGCAGTTGCTTGAGAGGTCCGTCGGCTCTCGCCAAATTCGCAGGTTAGAAAACTTCATGGCTTGCTTCTATACTATTTACCTGCGACATAGCAAACAACAATATATAAGAATTATAATTATATGAGGATAGGTAATTTCAAAACACGGAACGGTTTCAAGATGGAACGTATTAGCCTATAGTACACGACTTATGACAAAGCTTTGTAATTTACAACTCCTTGAAATAAAAAACAATTAAAACTCCTTGAAAAGATCTAAAACACTGAAATATTATAAAAATAAATTAACACTTCCAAACGAGAAGCAACTGTTCAGTTTACTATCAAGTATTTTCTTGCAACATTTGCATGTGAAATGCGGTGCCCAAGATTTGTCTTGGTTCCCGACGTGCACGCCATAGTATGCTTTGTAGGTTTGCACATTATGCGACTTGCTTCTATAGAATACTTTTTTGATTTTGTCTTTATGAATTGTCTGCACACCTAACA